ATATAAAAGAAATTATGAGTGGTGTCAACACAGGACAAAGTAGTATTACGTAGTTAGTATCAGCAATTTATTATGCTGAAGTGTACGATGTGTTGCATACCTATTTACAAAAAATTCCTTTAAGTTTAATTTTTCAAACAATTTTTCGAAATGTGAAAACATGCAATTTTTTCCTGGATTGACAGTTTAGGTTGCCCTCTAATCTTTTAATTACCTACTTGTATAATTCAGTTGAAAAAAAGTTTTTCTTTGGTGGGGCAAATTAAAAAGTATTGGTAATAGATATTTTGATGATTAAAAAACTTTTTTCTTCTTGTTTTTTAATCCATTACACGTTAATTGGAAGTCGTTAAAAAAAAAAATAAAATCTTATCGACGCTACCTTCACCTTAGTCAAATATCTATAAAATTATTTATTTAGGATGTTATTTTTCCTACTTATCGAAATATAAAACTTTCAGTAAGCAAATATTTAATCATAATTTTTCTTAAGTTTTGGTTTTTAAAATTTATAGGTATCTCAACATAGAATAGGTAATTCAACAAAACTGAAAAACAATAATAATTTTTCTCACGTGTAATTCTCATGAAAAACTTTAAAATTCGACGAGACACTATACCTATTATAATGTTCGTCATAACTGTTTGTTTCGCGTATTGTTGTGACTTTAGTTGAAATAAAAAAATTGCTTTTTTTCAATATACCCTAACATATAAATCTGCATAAATACGAATATTTCGATGATATTCTAAACCAACTAATGGTGGGTGCAGTGATCTACCCGACGACAACCTTTCGGCCACTGTTCTACTGCTTGGGGTCACCAGGATTCCAACATCCCCGGCTCCGACGCGTCGTGTTCAACTCTCTACGACGCAAAACAATTCGTCGTCATACAAAACAAAATCGCGCAAGAATTCTATTTCCTCTAGTAAACGTAATTCGTTCAAGGTACGAAAAAACTCTTCGAACTTTAACCTTTACGAAAAATCTAGAACAGTTGCAGTTAACGAAAATAGTAAAGGTAAAAACGGCACCGTTAAACGAACCTCTTTTGAAAATCCAAAGCACACCACAAACACCAGTGTTTACCCTGATAGCAATGAATTTATTTCGAACCTGACGAAGCCTCAGAAGAGGAAAAGTCAATTTTTGAATAAATTGTTCTCGAATTCACCGTTATTATCATCGGTCGGTCAATGTAACAGTTTTAAGGGAATCACTGATAGCTACTTTTTTGATCGAAAATCTTCAGACGATACGTCATGTTTGGTATCGCATGAAAATTTCCGTATTATTTTCGACGATGAATCAAAATCGAATGTTATATTATTACCGAACGCTGAAAGTCCGCATGTAGTTATAAATGATCACGCAATCGAAGGGACCACCCTATTTACGACATCTAATACATTCATTACTAATTCCTCCAAAACGATTATGGATCGATCAGTGGACTCTATAGGGACTTGTTCTTTGGATGTGGAAGGATCTGTTAATTATCCAGGTAGAAATGTTTGTTGCTGTGTGGATTTAATTCCTTTTTTGTTTTTCTTATTTGTTTAGTTTGCGTTTGTTGCTGGTTAATAAATTGAACTTTTGTAAAATCTTTGATTTTTTGCATGAGTAATTTCACATTTAATTTATCATACAATAACTTCATTCACTGGGTGCATGATAATTACTATTTTCCAAAATTTGCATACTTTTGTTTCATAGTTACTGCTAAATCAAAAATTTATTTAATGTATTTTAGTTGCATATTTTGTTCATGGTTAGTTACTTATTATTTGATTGTAGGTATAGTTTTAACTGCTGTACCCAATAGTTAATGTACAGATGAATTACGTAATATATCCATACAGATATGTATGTATAAACCAGTTAAAAAGGAATAATTACCAATTATAGGGTGATTTTTGTCCATTAATTGTTAAATTAAGCAAAAACAAAAAGTTATAAGATTTACCCTAAATTTGTCTAAATATCTCATACTNTGTAACCGTTTGACGTGAAGAGGTAGTGACCCTTAGGACTAGGATTCCCTCTTTGTATATATTTTTAAAATGCCCAGTTCTTTAATATAGAAAACTTTTCCATAATCCAAATTAAAAGCTTAAGTAATTCGATAAATTATTAAAGCAAGCAGGTACCTGGGTAAGACTTTTCAAATGGTTTGTTCGTTCATTCCTAGGGCAATAACGCCTCATCAAAAATTTGAAAACAGTTGCCAGTGTGTGTATGTATGTAGTATGTACTTTTAGACTTAGGGCGACTTATTTTTAACTACATTGGGGAATTCCTGTATGTGTAAATGTACAATCTAGTGCGAGAATCAGTGTAGCATTTGGTGGAAGACAAGCCAGAAAGGCTTGCTGTGTTTGTTTAACAATTTGGTGTTCTAATATTTCCGAAAGAATTTTATTCGTTCTCCGATGCAATTAGATTTTGAAAAGGTTAAAATGGGAAAGAATAATCGGCTCAGTCGTCTGATAAATAAATGGCTAAAAAGGTATGATATAAATAGTTTTGGTCCAACCTATTATGATTCAGTGCGAAAGGAAAATTGTTTGAAATTAATTATCTATTATAGGTATACTAACGAGTAATAATAAATACCTATCTCAAATCGTTATTGAATTAAATTTAGCGTATGATTTTGGTATGCAAACTATAACTCTTTATAAGTGGGCGTTGAGGCCACTGCCTTCTTTATTATAAATTATAAATGATTTTCGTTTATTTATTTATTTTTGAAATAGGTAATTTGCCGCCTATAATAAAATGTCATTTTCGTTGTTCCGGATATAAATTGCGATTTACCGGTGTTTCTGTGATTCCTAATTGGATCAACAAAGGCATCATAACTAACAGTAAATAAAACGTTAAATGAAATTCTTCACATCTTCCATTTGTGTGCCATCCATTCGCGTATGCGAACGGTACTCGCAACTTCTTTCGTATTATTTTATCGTGTGTAGATATTATACGATGTGATATTACAGTTTGATATCTATTAATACCTGTAATACGCGTACAGATCAGTTGGGATATGCAGGCAGTGCACTATTTGTTTTAATGCAGTGATAATTTGTATGAAAGAAACACAACCAAGACTTTATAGTATTTGCTTGTTTTTTCTTTCGGCCTTCATCATTTAATTACGTGAATATTATGTAAATGCATACGGCCGAAATGTATGTCATAGCAACAGGTAATTATTTTTATTTTGTTAACAAATGTTTTAGGTAGTTGATTAAAGAAGTTTTGGTTATTTTTTTATAAATTTTTTTTTTTTAATTTTCAAATCTCACTTTCTTTAAACATTTTATACGGTGTTTTTGACTATTTTGTAATATAATTCGTCTGATGACAGGGGCGAATCCAGAAACAATTAAGATAATTATAGAAGTCTGAGCAATTTAGATTCATATTGAAATAAATTAACAGTTCATTTTTAATTAAATTAATAGATGCTCTATTTCTTTCTTTACATTCATTACCGTAAAAGGAAGTAAATAATTTTAAATATATTTGTCAAATTTGTATCTGTATAAAAATGCGCTACAACTGAATTAGGAATAAAAATTAGTATTTTTCGTGCCGTATTATTTTTCTATAATGTATAGAGAACAATTGATTGAAATATAGTTCGGTATTATAGTAGGGGTGACAACCCTACCTGTAGCCTTCAATCCTTCCAGATACAAAGAATTACATACTCGAGTGGCATTTTTATATGCTTTTTTTTTTCATTGAAAGTGTGACAGTAATTTATTTTTTTTTATATATTGAGGGGCAAGTCTAATCCAGATTTTTTCACATATCATTTTTTTATAGTACTGAAAGTCATAAAGCGTTTGAGAGGGGAAATTTACCCAATTTTTCCCTTTGGATACGCCACTGCCTGCATTAAATTTAAAATCGAAGTTATTCATTAAATATTCTTATTTTTTTACAATGTTGTTTGGATGAATTGTACTGTGAAAGTTCATTTACATATTTTGCTTTCTCTTGAATGTGCGAAGTTGATACCTTTTTTAAAGTATAAATTTTCTACGAGAAATAAAGAAAGCTTTATTTTATACGTGATGGATTCCCTTGCTCGCTTTTCCAAACGTTTTTATTACCGTAATTGTCTCTTACATTTACAATTGCTATTTTTAGTATTGTTGTTAACTGCTTTGTCGGCTATAAAATAATAATTGGGTACCATACGGGAGCTATATAATATGAAGGCGTAGAATGACCAAACATATATTTTTTTAACGACTTTTAATTCGAAATTGCAATTTTTATCTCAAAATGCTTACTGAATCGCAGTCTAACTCAATTCCAGTCTAAGCTAAGGCAATTTTAAGATTGCAACCAAACGAATGATAGCTTTAAGTTCATTAGGGTACGTAAAGGCAACACGAACGGAGTGAATGTTGTCGTGTACTTTTTTTGTTTACATCGTTGAACCAATCTTAATCTAAACCAATTCTAACTTAATAAGCAATTCAATGGCAGGCAACAATCGTCACAATACTGATTTAAAAGGCGTTTACATTCCTTTGCAAAACATTTACGGCTATAGATACGCTTAAGGTTATATTTGTTGGTTCTAAAATTTAACAACACGCAAAACGCAATCACAATAATTGCGTATTGTTTTAATTTTTTACATACTGCATATAGATACTCTGGTTGATGCTTTATGCTTTGTATGGATTTGGCTTTTGCTAAACGTTAGTGCATGCAAATATTTCTGGTTAATTTGAAGCAAATTGTTAAGTACAACTTATTTCAAACGGTTCGAAACATGCCTCTTCCCGTTACCTAGATGACCCGTGACAAAAATCTGTTCCTGTCTTGTTCACCCCTGCCGTGTATTCATTCAATTCACACAGGTTTTCTCAATGTGACATTTCCAATCGTTTGAAATGAGTTGTACCCATGTGTACGATGTATACAAGGTGTCCTATAAAATTTTAAGCACAACGTTATACATATGACTAGTCGATTGATTTTATTTTTATTTTTTTCATAACAATATGTCATTATTTACTTTTGTTTTCTACAGTTTACCTATTATATTATTCAAAAAATTTGATTAACAATACGAGAAGATTTTGTGTAAGCCTTTCTTTGTTTTGGGACGCCCTGTATATGATATGCATATAAATATTGATTATTGATTAGGGTGTTTCGAAAAAAGCAATTTTTTTTTCTTAATCTAAGTGGATAAACAGTTGAATTACCTAGATGATGAGCTTTTAATTCAGGGATTAAAAAAAATCTGAATAAATTTTAGGCTTTCTATAAAAACAGTGAATTACCATTTTTTATGACTTTTATTCAGCCCGTCTGTATCTTTTTCTACCTCATCTTGAAAATAAAAATAAAGGCCCTGATGGTTTCTGCCCAAGTGGCTAAAGTTTTCACAATTTTAATGAGTCTAACTAAAAGAGATATACCCTTATTTACCACAAACACATTTTTAAATAACAGACACGTGTTTCGCTGTAATCAAATACTAAGGCGAAGGTAACGTCTCAAAATTCTTACATTTGTATAGATAATGCTACTGTGTCTCTTTTTAGTTTATTTAGATTGTTTTGATTTCAAAATTATTAATAATTTATTTTTCTTTCTCTCTAATTATGTAAATAAATCGAAAAGAAGTTTTGCGCTTGTGTGGGGCAAATTAAAAAGTATTAGGAATAGATATTTTTGTTGATTTTTCTTATTTCTTGTCAAAATGCTCAAATAATTAATGTTATTAAAGCTGAAAGTTACATTTGGGGCTAAAATGTATTCGGTAAAGGCATTTGATGGTCAGTTCTTTCTTTAAAATATAACATTGCTACACCATCAACTAAAATAGATTTGAAGGAAAGACATTACATAAATATTCAATTCATTTTGAGTCATTTTATTGATTTTGTTCATTTTGAAAAAATTGTGACTGCAGCGTTTCGTTTCAATTCGATATTTATTGAAGTGCTGTGGGATACACGATATTTCATGTTTTACCTGTCGAAAATTGGTCGTACGAACTCAGAAACCTTTTTTGGCTCATGCACAACAACTTTGCTAAAGATCATCACATGATCAAATGCATAGTTTACGATTTTATAAGGGACATACAGACAAACATTCATTTTTATATATGTATACAGATAACTAAAATATCGATTTAAAAGGGATAAAAATTTGGCGGTGCTAAGTACCTGCGTCTTAATCAATCAAAGTAGGCGAAACACGTGTCCGTTCTTAAAATAAGTGTTTGTAGTAAATACGAGTGAGTCTGTTTTTCAATTAATGTAGATAAATCACGTTTTTTTTTTCAGAAGTTTATGTAAATGCACACTTGTATTATAACGTAGGTGTAATCGTCCTCATGATGGGTTCGTAAGCCTGACCAAATTAATTAATAAAGCAACTGTTAGAACTTCAAACTTTAGATCGCGATCGCTCTATTATTTAAACTATTAATATTATATATAAAAG